GCCACTGTAACTAACAATTAAGGCCGTAAAATGTACTTAACACCTGGTTAAGTAAAATAGACAGGAGGTCAAACGTTCAAACCCAGGTCATTCACCTCACTGACATTTGATAGAATTTGAAACTGTAATATAATAAATAGACTTAAAAATAAAATCACTTGTAGCAACTATGAAAAAGTGTAAATTCTGCTCGAAAAACTGCTGTCAGCTTAACAAAAATCAACAGAAAACAGAAAATGATATTTTTTTAAAAATTGATTCTATTTCAGCAGAAACCTTCTCAGAAAACTTTACTACTAAATACGAATGATGATAATAGCTATTATTAGAAAAATCGATAATCATAGATAATGTTTAAAAGCTCAGTCCGGGTTATAGGTTCTTTACGCGTATCGGAGTCACTCTCGTTGATTCAAAAATATATATTTTCCGTAAATTACGCTTTATATCACACACATCTGGAATTTTCTCTGTTACTGAAGTTTTTCATGCTTCACCAAACGTGAATTTGAAACGCTTGAATCTTGACGGCTGGCGTCTACGCCTGCCTTCGAACACAAATCACCATATGTCTCTAAGTTTAGCAGGCAAACACATGAATAGAGCCGTCGATAGCAATAATAGAGTCATGTAGACTCAAACAGAAGAAATTGTTCCTAACCATTTGTTGGTTGGAGAGATTAAATCGTCCGTGAAACAGTCCACCATGTTTGTGGACAAAAACACGCCAAGACACAGAGCTGGGCTTTGATTGCACAAATCATACCAAATGCTATAAATAGTATCGGTTATGGTAAAAATCATACTTTGTTCTTGTCGTATTTCCTTACTAGAGAATCAGTTAAGACAATGAAAAGTCTGCGTTAGGTTTTTTGTCTAGCAATTACTTTCAACCATCAGATTTCGAGCATAAACGTCTTGTTTATGCAATGTCTCTCTCTCATCATACGCACGTAGAGTAAAACATGTATTGCACGAGTACAGTAAAAAAGAACGCACGCTAAAACGCTTGCAGGTACACTCTAGGCACGTTCCATTTGTGGGACAGAAATTTCGCAAGCCAGAGTTCCGTGTATACAAATAAGCAATCATCTAAAATTGATCTTCGGCCAGCATTTCGTCTACCACGGAAGACTATTATTTTCTAAATTTGCACTCTGCTTTTAACATACTAGATTAAATGGTCTGATCATGACAACCATTTGTTTGCATTCTAAATAGCTACGTATATCTGCACCCTCAAAAAACGCACACTCTGTGCGCTTTCAATTCTTCGCTGACGATCTATACATTAGAGGACTTGTGTTGTAGGCATTATGGTTTTCGTCTGGAAACGGGTACGGAATTGGTGTATCGTCCAGCCGAACGGTCGTTGTGCTGACCCCCCGTAAACAAGCTCTATCCATGCCTGCCAGAAGCCTCTGGAGCTTGAATCTGAATTTGCTGATTTTAGCCAATGCGTTCTGCGGGCTTCGTTGAGCGGCAGATTAAATCTCTGGAATACTAACTGTTGCTCTGGCTACCATAGCGGCCGCAGTCCACTCGACGCAAATCTCCCGCTCGAAAGTTAAAACACGTCCGTTCGTGACGGCGGCGTACGACCAGCTATTCTACTTGTGGCTTCTACCACCAGGAGGCACTTGTCGCTTTTCAATGTTTTTATGGCTTTCCGAGATGTGCCATCGTTGCCTCGACGTCTCGAAGCAAAGTGGCGTTTTCGTTGGAGCATTCGTATCTGTAGAGCAATGAATCTCGCCGTATGATCAGTGAGGCCCCCTGCCCCACCATCTCCCTCAATAGGGGACTCCACTTCATAGTAGATAGTTGAGCACTTAAGACACTTAACTTTTTAGCCTACGATTTAGTTATGGCAAGATTGTTGACAACAGGACGAAGACAGTGACTTCCCCTAACTGATGTACAGACACGGTGGGCACAACTCCGCTACGATTTCGTACGCCGTACCTGCCCACGCTGTTCGTCACGCAACAGCGTTACGGCACAATAGCTTTTACGAACTACTGAATACATACTTGCCTTATTTTTGCAGTTTTTCAAATGTACTGACAGATGCGGATACATTTGAAAACTTGCTATAGCTTCGAAGCGCGCGAAGAAAAAGAACACAGCATTTTAGGATGTTATAGCTTTATTGATGCAGCATCTTTGACGAATTTTTGTCCGATTGAAATAAATTACTTTTTACAAATTAAAGATGAATCTTCAGGCAGCGATAAATTAATAAGGTATAGGGGCATAGTTCTTGAAAGAGGCTACGGCGTAACCAGTAAAACTAATCATTTTATTAATCCCATATAGGCAGTCGTTTTGGTAGACCTGAAAACTAGGGAGCTTTCAATACTTCCCTAAATTTTTCCCTAAATAAAAAAGCGATCTAGTCAAATCGCTATAAACCTGTGCTTCGCTTAAAAAGTTTATTATTGAATATAGTGAGATAATCAAATTTTCTTCCTAAAGAAGGATTGTGCACTGCAGACATAATAAGACAGCATAAATACTCCAGACAGTCATATCTACGATATATGTTAGAAAAAATCTCTATATATGGGTTTGGAAATCTTAGTAACGTTCCTGGTAGCATCATGCACCTCGTAATCCAATTAGAATCATTCCCTGTGCTTAGAAAACGCTATCCGATGAAAAATCTCCATCATTGAAAAAGGAATCAAGCTGGATCTTCTTGATATCAGTAGCAATAATGTATCACTAATTAAGCACTTACTGAATGTAGATGCTATAATTTGTTTTGAAAAGGATTCAGGATGAAAAGGAATCAGGGGACGAGACCGATTCATTGGAGTTACTTCGCGAAGATTAATTTTTTGCAGTCGAAACTATCAGTGTCAATGTTACTAATGATAGACAAAAGTAAGTTTTCTGGTTAGATAATTTGTTTTTAACCAGTGGCCAGAGAGGAGTCGTTATACTGCACATGAGTAGAAGCGGTACCTTCCAACAAGTATCAGCGAAAGGGGATCAAACTAGGATCAGGATCAAAAGCCCATCACTTCTAAAACTCCAGATTTAATTCAAATTATGATGAAAATCGGCTAGAAAGGTTAGTGATTTAGAAAAAAAAAAATGTCAAAGATAGTTTTCTAAATGCATCTATGTGTTCTTAAGACATCAAAAATTATGTCTTTGTGCTAATCTTAGAGTTCACAGTTATACTCATTGATTAGGCTTGTATATCAGCCGAAAAAAAAATCGATCAGATAATAACTATGGTAACAAGAACTGTACGAAGTCCTAAGAAGCGTTACGTACCTATTTAAAATAGGTATTCTATCCTGGACACAAAGCCCGGAGTACCGTTTCGTTATAATTATTTAAATCGTCATCCAGATGGGGAAATCCGGCCAACCGAACATATTTTTCACGTTGTAGCATTACCGCCCTAATTGTCACCGACGGAACCAAAACTGGGGTAAAGGATCCAGGATGATCCTGTAACGTGCTACGGCCGCTCAATCTGGCGTGCAGATAGATTATGCCACACAATGTAATATTTTTAGGGTTCAGTCACCAGAAGCCATTTGATTGCCAATCAGTTATCTATATTAACGGGAAACCCATCGCCTCACAGCTGACGGGCACGTCGTTAACCCCAAAAAAAAAGTTACTGACAAACTCCTCGATATTATAACAGGTGAGAGATGTAGCGTATTATAAGTTACTGAAATGTTGTACATTATACGGTTAACCCCTTAAAAGTACTGCGTTGCTTTCTGCCAGTAACAGTAAAATGTTTAATGGGAAAAATCAAAATGTTTTGCTATACCCTTTTGACAACTGGTGTCAATCGATATTGTACGAGCTATGGTGGTCTCCTCTAAGCAAGCAAAATAAATAGCAGATTTACAGGAACGATTAGAGTCTGATTTGTGATCGAGTGCTATACTGCCCTCAGCTAATGCTGGCGTTTCAAGTACCGCAACGCATGGTAGCTGCCGTTTCGCTATAAGAATATAGACAACTTCATAAAAACTGTAACTTGCCGACTGATTAGTTACTCGCTATCTCTAACGATTTGAGTATCTCGTAATACAAATCTCACTAACACCTGTCAACCAGCGCCAGCACTTCCCCTATCAGATCGATGCAAGCTAACGGTAAGACCAAGATTCGTGCTCTAAGATGATTAGTCATGAAACGCACTCGGAGCATACCCAGAGACTGAGATAAACCTGCGTATTTTCACAGTAGAACCTGATTGTTCCATCTGTCCGTGAGAAATTATCTTGTTTTGAGCTTGATACCGCGAAACCGATTAGGATCAGTGGAGAATTAGCAGCTAAAAGCGCCACAGTTTCCATAGCAACGTAAAGCTTAACGAACATACTTTGTCGAAATAAGTTGTTTATTGTTTGACTTAGGCTGTGTATGTGAACGTACACATTAGTTGCCAAAAATAACAGTACTTATTGTGGAAGAAATGGGAGCGAAAAAAGAAAACATAAAACGAGGCAGAAATTTCAGCTCAGTGATGACGAAGCGGGAGGATCATATGGATTTCGTTCACATTTATGCTATACGAACGCACGAATAAATGTCGAAACACAACTGAAAAAGGCAGTTCTCGGGGGCGTGTCTTCCGTACGGTGGGTCTGCGTCGGCTCAGCTCACGGCTAAAATACTACTCTCGAGAAAACGAGGCTAGATCAGCGAAAGCGCACACCAACGTCAATCAGATTCTATCGGGTGTAAGTGTTGTTGCAACAAAATACCAAGTCCGACTATGGCGGATAGAATTGGAAATGGAGAGTAGTACTTATTAAGCACAGTATCTAGTGAAGGGCATTTATTGTTCAACTTGAAACAAAGTAACTGCAACAAGTGAGGAAAACGTATCTAAAATCAGTCTACACGAAAACGTCACATGACATATGGGTCGCCATATTGTTCATCAATGACAACTAAGTGAATATACCTGAGAAACATAGTTTAGTTTTATTATAATTATTATTGTTATAATTAGTTTAGGCTTTGGCAATGTTATATTACAACAACGTTTTGATATCCGTCGTTTATGGACTAGATGGCTACTCACAGCCGACCGTTTCCCATCAGCCTATTGTTGTCCTCCTTTTACTCGTTCCTTATTTCGGCGGTGATTAGTTAAAGGGTTATTTGTATGTTACACATACGCTTTCGGAACAAACTTGATTTGCACAAACTAAACGTACAGAACAGAGTTGACGCTGAAAATGGACGATTCGATAGTATGAGGTTATTAGGGATAGAATGGCACCGTACAAATGCTTTGTGTACCCTCTTCGCACGCTTCATGCCTTACGAGTCGAACCTAGAAAATGTCTGCCTGCCTGCCTGCCTATCTCGGCTACTACGGTCGCAATGCTCTTCTTCTGTCAACTATTGGCAGCGTTTGTCTTCTCACAGGCGCGTCGTCGTCATCCATGGGTGACCGTGATCAGGACACGACAGTCTATAATAATATCATAATTAGGTAATCGGTAAGCTAGTCGGCTAAAGTTACGGCTACTTCTACCGCTACTACTGCTGCTGCTGCTGCTGCTGCTAAACGAAAGCACATGTGTTAGTTTAATAACACGACAGTTAACTGACAGTTACAGACGTGTGTTTAGGTACAATTTTTTCTTACACTGGACTGAGTTTGTAAACAAATGATCATTGCATATATTGTGAGATCATGAACGATGTTCGCGTTCTTCACATGTCAGATCTATTTATTCTCTTCATTTCGTTAGATGTGTGTGTGTGTGTGTGTGTGTGTGTGTGTGTGTGTGTATCGAAGGGGTAGACATAGTGGTTCGGGGCCTCACGATGAAGGGCCAAAACAGACGCATCGTGAGGATATGATACAAAACAAACGTGACGAAATGTTTAACGTATCTCTCGGCGTGATGTCTGAAGTATTCACAGAAACTGTTGCTATGCAAAATGCACATTTAGAGAAAATGGTCGACTATCGAAATGTGAAGACAAATTAACCATTGGATCAGCATCGTTACATATTATCATGGGATAGTGATAACAATGACAATGAATGGGTCCCTGAGGGATAGCAAACTATTGTCTTGTCATAATTATCAGCATAGGAATATAAATGCGCGGATGATCTGGTGGTATACTATCAGCTCATCCGAAAACGATGAGTAGATTACTATTATCAACAGTGCATCCTTAGTGTATTTGCACAGATAGCAGCACCACTCAACTCAGCTAGGAAAATCCGATATTTTCCATTCGTTCGACGCTAGATGTCACAGGTCATGATGATTTCAAACATCCATCATGGGCATCGTTACCATTATTGTCATTCAGACGTACAAGCGAACACATCGAGGTACTTCATCTTTCGCACACACAAGCCCAGACACAAAAGTTTCTCAAACATATTCTTTCTTTCGTTATTTTTTTTGTTTCGCTTTGAGTCCATGCATATACTGCTGCTTCTGCTGTGTCCTCGTCCTATTACACGTACCTTTTTCACTACTTCAGGACAATACGGCCAAACTAATGTCGATCGGTTTCGGAGAAACTAGCAGCAGTAGCAGCAATCGTTCGATAAAATAGTGTCTCAGTTGTGAACGTATAGCCACCGTTTAGCTTGATTTGTTGGAAATTATTACGTACCCGGCACGCGCTGAGATGCTGTCACTTGTCCAGTGATTAAGACCGAACACGTCGTCTATCGCGTCTGCATTTACTTGGCATGTCAAATAGCATTAGGTAATTAAATTTGGCATTTTCATCTTTCTTTACTATAATGACTGCGTACATATTTCTGCTACGACTACAAGTTCTGCTTATGGTTATTAAGGACTGCCTAGGCCTCTACACATGGTGCGGGGTTAACAATAAACAGACCCGTCTATCATTTGTCCTTAGTCTTAGAATTCTTCTTCTTATTCCCTTGTTGTTGTCGTTGTCGTCGTCGTCGTCGTCGCCACCGTCGTTGTTGGCGGTGTTATTGTTGCCGCTGTCGTGAGGCGTCATTCTGCGTTCGTTGGCCTCCAAACGACGTTTGACCTGCGGACCGCTATTGTCGATATCTTGCCTAATTGATTACCGGAGGCGTTTGCTGGATGTTTGCAACTTAAATTGGCCTAAAGAGGGACAGTTCTGCGGTAGCTGGTGGACGCAACTCTGTGAAGGCACCGTGGACCGGGGACTGACTGGCGACAGAGGCCGTCGGAGTCGAAGGGGGACTGCGACCCATCAGTGCGCTGTGGCCCTGCGGCTCGAACTGATCCGAGCTCGGATCATGTTTTGTGTCGCAATGCCGCTTCAGGTCAATTTTGCGTTGGAACGCCTTATTGCAGATGCGACAGGTGAACGGCTTGAAGCCAGTGTGCTTTCGCATGTGCGTGATCAGATTTGATGACTGACTGAAGCATTTACCGCATATTGTGCATTGGTGCGGCTTTTCCCCTGTAATAGACGAGCCAATGGAAACATTGGGTTAGATTCTAATCGTTTTTGCCACACACACACACACACACTGATCACAGACGAACATTTTTATGCATGCTGAAGTAGAGCCAGCTAGTACTGCTATGGCATACAACATAGTTTACCTATGGAACGGATAATGTTTCACTACGATTAAAGTCTGCTAGATCAGAAAATCAGTAGCCATTTTCCTACGTACCTGTATGTGTGTAGGTGTGCTTTTTCATGTCGGATTTTTGGTGGAATCTCTTGCCGCAATATTCGCACGGATACGGCCGTGTGTCGGAATGGATAAGCAAATGCGTGGATAACGTCGACGAACGCTTGAAGCATTTCCCGCATTGCTTGCACTCGAACATCTTAGACGGCGCCGATGGCGACGCTGGCGCGTGAGGATCGATTCCGCAGCCGCGCCGTAGATGAGACTGCAGTCCTCCAGAGGTGCTGCAATCAGAAACAGAGCGCCGTTAGATTAGAATCGAGCCGAACGATACATGATCATCCAGTTAACGCTGTTCTGCTACGATGTCCTTTGCCATTCTTCACATATGGATGGAAGAGCTACAAAATATCGCTCTATATGACGTTAGTCTCCTAGCCGGAGCTGTGTACCGCTTATTTACGCATTCTGGTTCGCGTGTCAAAGGAAATGCGCCATTTACTTCAACTGTCACCCATTGCATTGCATCTACACCACAGTGTCATCTCGTCTCATCTCATGGTATAATCAAGTCGTTTTACGCAGATTTACGCGAAGCGTCCTTCTTCTCTCCCCGCGTACCCTCACTTTTTTTTCTCTCTGCTTGTATATGAGGACAGAGCAATTTTCAACTATAATCTGACGCAGACAATAGTCGCACACACACTTTGTCTAGGGTGGTTCAGATTAATGTCTATAGCTGGCCCATATCTATTCTTATAGGGTGCATATATATATATATATATATATATATATATACATATAGTATGATTCTAAGGATTTTAGCCGCGTTGGGCAAGGCTGTGATCGATAACACTGGCACTATGACCATCAGCGCTGTGGCTGCTGGCTTCGGCGTTGAGCTCTTGTGCGATTCGCTACGGCCACGTGCAATGCTTCTATGCGATTCGCAATGTACATACAGACTCCCCCCGTTGCCTTTCCTACCTTCCATTTGAGCAAATCCGCGCTAAGCATCCTTCGCCATCCTGTTCGAAAGGCACGACTTGTGTCCTACTGAACAGTATGTGCTGTGCACAATGACAACAGTGCAGTCGTGCAGTGATATGGCCGTACATTCTTGGTCGACGTCTTTAGCCCAGTCTGGCCACATGACACAGACCAGCTACTAGCGTCTTCAGCTTCGTGGAGGAACTCGACTCCTTCTAACAGCCAGTGCACGTCATGCTCGACTGCGAGCTAACCTTTCGGGTAAGGAAATATGCGCTTAGATATACATATGTAGTTTATACCAAATATACCTACTTCCAAGCCCATGTACGAATGTCCAGGCTGTGCTAGACCAACTAGGAACAACGTTTTAGAGGTGGAACTCGCCAAACACACGAACCAGCATTGATGGCAATGGCGTATCGAGGTAGCGGCGGGTGATTCGTCGCGCAGCGTTGTGCAATTTGCGCGCGGAACAACATCCAGAAGAAGGTAGCCTATAGCCATTCTACAATTTAAGCCTAATCGCAAATGCGACAATAGCAAACTGTACCTAACACACACAATTCGTGCCTAAGAAAGGACCTCTTCGACCAGCATCTGCGCACCTGCGATACAAACATGTTATCTCAACCCTGGCTTTTGTCAGCCTCGCTCCGAGCAAGATAGAAAGAACTACGCCAGTCGTAATGCTCTTGGAATGTCACGGTAATAATTTTTTTCCATTCCCTTATGCTCCATTTAGGCAGTGAGGTTGCTAACATCTTGCGTCTCGATGATACATTCAGCCTGATGTTTTAGTTGTATAACATAGCCTATAGATTTTGCTTGTTTTTCCATTTACTCTAATTGAGATTTAGCTTGAACTAAAAAATGTATCCTACAAACTTCCACGAGGTTCGATTTGCGTAGCTCTTTAGTAGTACAACCTGTATTGATATCTGCTCGATTCAAGCAAACTAGAAAAGCTCTGAAGTGGATCGAGCGAAACTTCACCAGTAAATATTTTGACTAAAAAAAATTTCTATTCAACCGCCGAATTTATGCCATAAACATATACAGAGGCATATCCTGCTGGATAGTCAGCGTTTACTGCCTAAAATCAATTGACTACTACGTGTGGCACGTTCGGTAATCATCGACGGTGAGGAGTCGGTTACTGCTGAATGAAAGTGGGCCGGCGCGCCTGGACGACGCTACTGCCATAGGCCGTCCCTTATAATGATGACATGTGGTCGCTGCGGGGACATCGAGATCGGTGTCCTGCCGTCGTCGCGTATGGCCATTCTCTCGTGTCACTCTCGTGCTATGATATATACACACTGCAAGGATTGCATGCATGACGCAGAAGAAACGCGCCCAGCGCCATCCTCGCCCCGATCGTGGCAGTGTAAAAGCTTCCTGCCGCTATATAACTATTGTGTGGGAATAATGTGCATGCCTCTCTATTGATACGTGGCTTTGGCACAGATTGTGCAGGAAATTGCAACGGTGATGACGATGATAGAAACCACGATCATGACGAGACAAGATGGACTGAACAAAAACGGTCGCTGCGTTCCACCAATACGATACATAGATGGTCGCTTTCAGCAGGGAAGCTCATCTGCCGGATCCATCACTCTGGCGCGTTCAATCTGCATCTCAATGGAGCGGCAAGCTCTCGGTTGGTGCTCGTTTTCGTACAAATAGAAGATATTTCAATTGAGTATCATGGGTAACGATAGAGGCGCGTCTCGACTTGAGCGACTCTGCATAGCGAACAGCTCACCTTGTAGCGACAAGCTCTGTCGGTCGGCAAATTCGCTCTATCGAGAAAGTGAGAGAGAGAGAGAGAGAGAGCCGAAACGGGTACGAATTAACACTGGCCGTAGGCGGGGGTTAGCTGATGGCTAGTAGTCACAAACAGAAACCCCCGTCGTGAAGAAGAAAACATCACATTGGCTTTGATTGTAACATCAACCTCAGCATTTGGTATTGATACACAGCGAGGGAAGATGTTACGATGCTACTTGCTTTGTTACCAAATGGTAGTTACTATGAGCAGAGCAGTTCTCATAACGGCACCATAATGCTAACGAAACACAAACGTCAACAATGTACATGTATGTCTATGAATATGTCTTATGTAATATTTATATTCCTTTTCGACATTTGTTTATTAAATCGGATCGTATTCGTTCAGTAGAACGAGTTCTTAGTTTCGACGGGACCCACTTGGGCAGATAAGCCTGGTCTATCAATAACCGATGTGAACAAACCCGATTATATATAAAAGGATAATTAAAATAGAAATTAAAAAATTCTATAGCACACTTACTATTTCATGTACGGAACTCTTTCTGTGTGAATAAATCAAATGTCCCTTTATTTAGCTTGATTTCAATGGAATCGGGCCCCGTTATGCGTGCTAAGCACCAAACATGGCGAATGCAGACAGCAAACCTAATCTACATGGTGCTTTTGGGACCCATTAACAACATTTGAATTCCGTAGTGTTTGAGAACTTGTGTCATTTACGACAGATCTCGTTTGCTCTTACTTTTAACAAAAGGGCTAATTTATAAAAGTGTTCACGCTATCTCTTTTCGAAATTCAGGTGAAGCCATTATCCATTCTATTAGGATATGGTACGTGGACGCTAGGACCGGGAGGTTGCTAGTTCAGGTTGTTTAACGCGCATATCTAAACATGCGCGTCAATAAAGTCTTGAGTAGGCTTTAACAGTCCAGCAGCCGAAGAACTATTTATGTTAGCTTAGATAAAATACTATAATTATTGATACGCCCCAATTGGGCGAAATGCAGAAGCCCAACATTTGCACTCTGACTAGTTAGTGCACGTTCGACTATCGATTATACAAAGTATATGCTAGCGCACAGATACTCGTCTTGATATGCCCTTCAATCGGGCAGTGCGTCGGTCAGCTATGCCCCATCTATATTGAACCACTTTTGTTGTTGTTGTTGTTGTTATTATTGTTTTTGCTGGACTTGACTGACTAACTAACTAGAAGCTGCGACAATTAGTGCCTAGCTACTCGGCTACATACACAGCTCCGGAAATCTTTATCATGTTTTTTTGGGCAAGCGATCTCTGCATATATGCGACACAGGACCGATTTTGGCCACCTGTAGTGACCACGAGCCTGCTGGAGCGTGAAAGGCTTATTACGTCGTTAGGAGAGCTAACTAGGACATTTGTTGTTATTGACGCTGCCGTGTTCTATTTCTTGAATGCATATTGTGACCAGATTGTTTAGGTGTATAGTTAAAAAATGACTGAAAGCAAATCTATATTGCACCAATAACGGTCGGGCCATACAATGATAACTAGAATGTTTTTACCAGCTATTAGGTAATGCAATCATAATATATTATTGATATTTGGGCAGGATTCATGCTAAGTGAACAAAATTAACAACCTCTCTATACCTCTCGAAGCATTGCTTGGTAAAGGAAGAACTTGACAAGCCAAGTAAAAATAAAGATGAGCTCGCCAGATCAAATGAAGTATGAATATTTCTACAGTGATGTACTGTTCTTTGTAATTGTTTAAATCCTGTTTAAACATATATATATATATATATATATATGAAAAATAAACATGTTAATGCTGTTATTATACGAATTTAGGTTGTCGGAATTCCGATTTACCGGCTCGTCACAAAAGCTCAAAAATGCATTATGACTGTTTACTTACCTAAATTGCCTTTGGCAAACGTGACAGGTGAATGCTTCCGTGTTGAGGCCAAGTAGGGCACGAATACTGAAGTTGTTGGAGTTCGAGGCTGCTGCCAGAGCACCAAATCGCGCACCAAGTTGGTGCACGCCCAAGCCGCCTGGTGGGGTAGCTAGGCCGACCGGTCCAGCATGGCCACCATTTCGGCTATTGTCAGTTGTCCCGTGTTGTTGTCGATGTTGCTGTTTGACAACTGCTTCACTGAGCTTCTGTTGCAACGACTGTATACCATTGCCACTGCTGCTCGGATGCAGAAGATGACTATGAGATGCTGGCAGCACTCTCATTAACGGTGGTGGACTGTGTTGCGGTGGAGATGGTGAAGGTGGACTTGATGATCGTTCGGAACCGTCTGACGTTTCAGGGGCATGTCCGAATCCAGCAAATCCAGCTGATAGCAGATGGAGTCCGGTGGCAGGTGGCAGGTCTGGATTGGACAGTGTTGTCGGACTGCCCCCTGTTACTTGGCTGGGGAACTGGAGTTGAAGTTCGCGGAGCATCCGAAGGTAGAATGCTGGGTCTATGTATGTTAAGTGACACAGAAACATACATAGATCGACCAAATGACATCGAGCTTGACATTAGCGACGTTTGTGATGACTGAGTAGTTGGAAGTTGGTATAACTTTGCCTTTGCACGTTAATTCTATTTACGTAGGTTGCGATCGGTTTAACATTTTCATGTAAGGCCGTACGTATAAAGGCTATTTATCTTTGACTATACTTTTACCGAGTTAGTAATAGAATAGGGTTGAGAGTCTCATTGCCAAAGCTAAATCAACACATACAGACACGCTTTTGTTGATGAGAAAGCCTTTCACAACACACATTTGTTATCGAATGGTAGTTAGCCTTAAAAACACTCAATTCGATATCCTAATTGACGCGAAATGACCTAGTCCTAACCATCGCCAAATAGGTATAACCATGTCTTTGACGAAAGGTCACTTTGGCACGATTTATTGATGGCCTAATCAAGTTAACCGCATCATGGCCAGCTTTCGATTTTCACAATGACTCAGATGACGAATACATAGTAAGTTAAAGATCATTGAAGGCAAGACTGCATAAATACATTGAACAATTGTACAAGTAAGACTAAATAATAAGTAGTTATCATAACATATATAAGCATGACGCGCTTGAGACGTTGCCGCCGCTATTACTGCTGTCAAAACGGAATTCATTTAGAAATATTGTGCGTGCAGGCACCAATAATAAACTGCCATTTCGTCAGGTGAAGACGTTGGCTGGCCGGAGCGTGTCAATTCAAGCGCTTATGGCGACGTTGGGGAAAAGTCACGATCTGATTGAATACTCTTTACTGTTTGTCTACAATATCCAGCGTCTCCGTCGAGGGCACTCGCTTGGTGTAGCGTCGATATAACAGATGACGGCGACCGCAACGAGAACGCGACCTGGCGCTCGTTTACTTGATTATGTGATTCCTCGTTGCTACGGTCACCATAGTCTATTGACAGCTGTACGGGAGTAAGACAACGTTTTAACGGAGCAACTGTTGCTTCTTGAACGTATAGATTCATAAACAAAAAAATACTTCATCCAAAAAAGCACGTTTCTGTTTTTCGCCACCAAAAAAAAGGCAAATTGCTAAAATTTTTTACACGCCTTAATAAATAATCATTACTCAGTTCTTCAATGCAACGACCCTCCTTCCCCGTAAAAGCTTGAAATAGAAGCACAAAAACTATAGCGGTCAGTTTCAACTCGACAAATTAAGCCCGGTGTTGGGCGTCATCGAGATGATAGGTCAGATGCACGATTAATAAGGCAAGCTTTTTCAAGAGAGAGCTAGCTATCCTCTAGAGTGGGTCTCCTTCGAGCCAGGGAATTATTTGCTAGGTTTCTAGTAGGAGGATGATAGGATTTCTAGCACCGCACTTATCCATTTTAATGTTTTTCTTATTTAAGGCCCCATTATCATTACCCTCGGTAATAAAGTACTTTCTGATCTACACAGACTACCCAGTTGGCGGTCTCGACCCGAACAGCTAAACTTTTAACAACAACGTACCTATTTCATAGAATTATAACTCTGCCTTTTACTTTTTATAGTAAAAATGCCAAACGTCATGAAAACAGGTACCGAAAAAAATGCTTGACCCATTATAACTTTTCTTCTACTGCCATGTAACTAAATGGCGAAAGAGTAACTATTTATGTTATACATGTAGATATGTGGTAGTTCAGTATCAGCATACATACTACATTTAATTTACAGTGCCGTATTGTGTTTGGATCGAAATGGTATCCACCGTTGTTTTTGGCTTATCTAGACAAGAAAGAGGCACCCCTATGGACCCCTGTTCGAACGAACGCAGTTTATACGTAATAGGAAAGCAATCACAGTCAACGGTCCCTATTTGGTCAAAATAGTCATCGATGTCGCAGCAGGAGCAACAATCGGAAGGACTTTTACCAGCGACCACTTTGCCGCAAACAATTAAATTATAGATAAAAAAAATTTAAATAACTCTATAAAGATAAAAAATTTAAACGGTGACTGCTGACAATTAGGCCATTATGTATTTAACACAAATACTTGGCTAAAATCATCTTCCTTTTTAGTATCCATATGGGAGATCAGACAGACGTCGAAGTTAAACTTGAAAAACCTTCCTCTACAGTTAGCTATATGATATGTGTTCGAGTTTGGACAAACGATATACAGGACAGCCATTTCTACTGGGGGCACACTGACTGTGTTGAATACCATTTAATGTGGTATATCATTTCTAAGCCGATTCAGAATAACATTTCTCTTCAAATAAATTTAAGTTACATAGCACCAATTGTCGTACAAAGCCGAAGAACGTTTCCATAATAATATAACAGGCCTCATCGGACCTACCGACACTTCGGCAGGACTTCGGCTGCGTACGAGCGAGCCCTAGACTCGCAATATCCTGATCTTATACTTCATCGTGCAATATGTGTGTAATAATTATATCGACGTTGCTGTACTCACCGTATAGCATCGTTTGACTGGTTCCGCCTGCCAAGATCGACGACTGTGTGGGCGCTGCTAACGAGAAGTCAAGCGGTTTGTCGTCCGGTTCGGACACCACATCAACGTCGACTTCCTCCTCTTCGTCATCGCCGGTCACCTCGCCCTGGCTGTGAAGTTCCGTGGAGTTTATATCTCGAGAGGTCGTCCCGCTTTCACGGTCCATCCTATTGAGGACGCCCAGCGCCTCGCGCGCCACAAGAAGCGTGCGTGGCATCATCCCGTTCGGTTGTTTTACCGTCGCCTAAGCTTAATTGTCTCAACCAGCGGGGCAATGAAGTCGTACGAGCGAGTAGAACTTGACAGCTTAGGTGAGGTGGTATCGCTGTTCCAAAAGCGACCTCCCTAATGTTAAGCAGATCGCTAGCGATTGCATAGGACTGCAGATACGGGCATATATGCTGATAATACGAGCAATCTACTTCACTAGTTTTAACGGGAACCACTGTTAATTGCACAATGTTCACGAATCATCTAAGAAGAGCAATAAGAGTCAGGCAGCGTTGCTGCTGTCAGCCTAGTGCTTCGTTCGCTGGCCGCGCACGTCAAGCTGCGTGTGCGTTTCTATCACCGAATATAGTCCTGAGGTTTGAAAAGCACATCGGAATAATATAATCAAGAATTGAAATAACCTGAATAATTCTCCGACGACCTTTGTTGTAGGGTCTCTTCAGGACGAGCCACACAGACACCCGCACATAGACATTCAAATGCACACACACACACAGATGATTTTCACTGCACAGTGTTCACGTTGTCACAGCTATTCAGTCTTCAAGCTCAATTAATAGCAGCTGCAGGTGGACTAGTGCTGCTAGGCGGCAAGTGACGACGTTGACGTAATACTTCGGACAGTCCTGGTGCTGGCAACAGTGTTCGTAGGCCAATGCAGCTTGCGACAGTTGTCAATGTACGTTGGTATTACTTCGAATGTACAGCATGCGTTGCTGTATATATGCGAATGGCTGTTTCGGTCTGTGTATCAACGGCTGAGCGTCGTTATACTCTCGCGGTTTCCTCGTCGATGTCTGCTGCTGCTGCTGCTGCTGCTGCTGCTGCTGCTGCTGCTGCCGCCGCTGTTGTCTATGCGATGAAATGCGCGACGACGCGTGATGGGTCTCCGCGAGCTCAGTTGTGGCGCTTCTCGATTTGGCTTGCTTTGTTCTGCTCTAACGGAAGCTACCCCAGGGAACCACTCCTCTAGGAAAGGGCCATCCGCCTGTCCTCTCCCAGCGCTTGCGCTCAAGCTCCGCCCCGACGCGTTATCATAATGCTATTACCGGAGGCGGAGGGCAGTACCAAACCACCGCTACGACCACTATTGCCGGCTGACCGCCAACTAAGCCATGTCGATGAAGCCCGCGAGCCTTAGCTGGGGAGCTGCTGCTTGATATGGGAGTTCGGAACGTACGACGAGAATTCGGCTGAACCAAGCACAGTCCAGGCAGGCGCACCATGAGCAGAACGGGGCCGTAGAACAGAGTGGGCTAGACTTTTTCGCGATACCCATCACCCTCACGTACATACACGTCTTTTGATTGGCAAAGACGTCTCATTGCGCTTAGCGATTGTGATAAGGTCTGTCGAGGATCCCAGATTACTCCATCGGTGTCCGCGACAGATCCGCACAATAGATTTTCGTGTACAAATTTTAGTCATCGCATATCGCTGGTGCTTCGGCACGATATGTAAGGAGTAGATAGTGTGAAACATTGAGTCTGTTGGAAAATAAAATAAATCATTGATACTATGAGTATAGAAAGGATAGATGTTACACTATATCAATCAGCACGGTGTAACTTCCAAATATATGGTCCAACCGAACAAGGATTAGTTAAAGTAATACACAGATGAACAATTAGATTGTATCGCCACCGTGCAACGACACATCCTAATTTACTCTACTATCTATTCAGAATTGTGAGATTTTATATGACGGAGTACAGCAGTTTTTTCTTGTCACCGTAACCCTTTACGTCAGTGATTTGATCAACGAGGTGAGTGCCTCAGGATTTGAGCTTCATCTCTATATATGAGTGTCATATAGTTCTTTGAGTGATTCACTAATTATAGATATAAAGAGCCTTTTCTCGATGCCTTGGCTGTAATTATCATAGTACGTTTATTAATAGAATGGCTAAAGCTAAATTTGTGTGACATGTTCACTTCAGGCCAGCGTGTCAAACGTTTGACCGTCATTAAATGTTCGCAAACTTCGGCCATGGGCTGAAATTGCTAGCCGTTAATCTTAAACATGCTGGACGCAGCAATTTTTCTACTTATCGCCACATATAGAAGTATGGAATGAACTGGGAAATGAAAAAATGCCAGAGATTAAGTATAATTTCTTGTCGTTTTTAGCTTTCCTTTGAAAATACACACTTTATTAATATAAGCTAATTGAAGCGGTCGTATGATGATCGGAATACCAAGTGCTTACCTGCCGAAAGCTGTTACTATAGACTATTGGCGATTAGTCACAGTTTCAACAGGGAAAGCTACATGTAAAAATCATAGAAACGTTGAACTTGAAATAAAGCGTATCGTATGTTTTTTTATCGTTGTTTATAATTATATGCCGCTTATTTACAGAGGTGTGCACATCTAGAGGCCAGATTTTTATTCGAGACAGCCTATTGAAGAATGAAGCATCTTTTAAATGGTAAGATAATGCTCTAAGCAGATGTTTCATCTAGAGACACATCTGTGTAGCGTACTGTGAGCCACTTTGACAAAACTGTGAAAGAAATGTTTTCAACTTTTAACTTAAACCGTTAAACACTGCTTAAGGAAAGATAAGGAAACAGTAACAACATCACAAACGCAATCCACATACACAGTCGCGATAAGTTAGTTCCTATAATCCGACGCTTATCCTGTAGCTGAGATTATTATGCCGTCTTTAATAGGTAAAAAGATGTAAAATCTAAACAAAAGTATAATAGCGTTATAGGCGCACCGAACTGATCTCAAACTGATATCGGCTGACGAGAGTATCTTTTTATCTATTTATTTTCTCAAGCTATACAATTAGCTATTATAACTTTCTGTCAATCGTGACGAACAAAAATACGGATTTTCAACCAATTAAGTGATTATGAATATATTTATGGTGGAGTTGTTACGTGTAGCCTGATTGCGGACACATGGCCTATTCTATAGGCCACGTTGAACAAACTGTTTGGACTAACTGTGGTACAATTTGATAATGTGATACATTTATTGATTCGTTCACATTAGCGTACGGACTATACTGCGGCGTACAGAAAATCACGATACATTTCCATAATGAATAGCTATTTTTTTTAATATCTTCCCTTCGTATAGAAGTAAGCATATTGTAGTCGCTCATTCTGTCCCTACCCTGTTTACAAATGTGGGAACTGGATCCTAAGAGACCTGGTTAATTCACTAACGAGTTCCCAAACGTATTTTATACTCTTTTCGCACGCGTATAAGCGAGCAGACTGCAACATCTGTGACATACCTTTATTGTCGTCATCTGGGCCGAGTGTTACCAACAAAATATAAATCAATGTTAAGCAGGTGAGAAGAGAGACGGGTTATCTCGTTCATGGAACAGACCATACTGTAAAAAAAAAATCGATACCCGCAGGACATTCGAACACGACACGAATTTCCAAACATTTTATTTAACGTCGTTGGAGAGATACTTTTTGAAAGCTTTTCATATATACTATCAGTGAACTACCCAGAATAAAGCGAGTGGCTTCGAAGCAGTACAGGCACTCTAAAGCTCTGTAACAGAGGCATTGATCGCTCTATATAAACGTATTATACTGGCGTACAGTAGATTTGCCCCCGAAATGTCGGTTACCGGCTGGTTTTGCTCATGAAAAAATAGACGATAAAAAGTCTGCTGGAGTTAGGCCTTGGATATGCCCAATTTAGATATTTTAGGGAAGTGCAACAACTTGTTACCGAACACTAAGCTGATCATTAAGGATATTGTTCAGTCCAGGTAAGATCTTCTCTTCTTTTCATTACAAGGAAGTTTATGCCACGCTTAATAAAAGTAAAATGCTTTATTGCTATACTAATTCTTTAACTTACATGCAGTTTCTGGTATACCCAGATTTCAGATATAGTTCAATTTGAGACCGCCCCAAACGTGCTGCCATCTGCTCAATGACCAATTTCTTGGACATGATGCGTCCCCTTGTTTCTTGTGGCCCATATTATTACATAACAGTTTACACATCTGTAGTACAGCTTTTTTTTTACATAAACTATCATACATTTAGCTGATTCGGTCTCCGATAATAAGTTACATTCCAAACTATATAGGGACATAAATGAATTTGGTCGTACGGTCTAGACAGAACGAGGTCAAGAAAGCCAAAGCGACATGGGAAGGAACGAGAGCATCTTTAGGTTTTTAGAGAAGCTCTTGAAACCTAAACCGCGTGCTTCACTATTTCGCCTGGCAGTTGCTACCACGTGATATTATTTATATGACAAAATCATGCAGGTTCAAGTGTAAGCCTATTTCACCTTAAACTAAATCCCCTTGAACATTGCAATCAGTGTCTCTTCTGACAAGCGTCTCCGTGCGCCTGAATAAATATTCAAATATAACACGCGCATTGATGGAGTGTTCCTTTTAAGCCAATATGATCAACTTTGTCACGATTGTTTTTGTCCATTTAATGTAACTTCGTTATAAGATTAGGCAAAGGCTGCGTATTTAGAACGTGCGCACTGCCACCTGTGGTACCCAAAGACTTCGTCTCAATACTAGAAGATATATCAGAGAGGGCAAATTGTCGTAGCTGACTTGCCTTTACAGCGTCGTCTTCCAAATCGAACATTTTCTATCAACTCGGCCCAGTCGCTCAGCTCGAAACTGGTCTGTATCACAAAATCTGCAGTCAACGCATATTACGGTTCAGATTAGCTAGGTACGATGCCAGTATATATACCTTTAAGTGAATCTGTTACTAAGCAACAGCAATGACCCCTCGTTCGATTTGACAAATAGATCACCTTTTTAATGCAGCAAAACTTCATTTTTGAAACTGTTGATTCTTTAATCCATCATCCAAATATAATATTACCTCTTGCTATTACTAAATATGTTAATATTTGATTTTTAATTGCTGCGACTTTGTTCTAAATAAGATGCAGTAAACAATTTCTTACCAAGAGAAACGGCAGGTTAAGGCTGTAAGCTATTTTCTTCGTCTACGCTACACCCAGAGTAAAAGTTGCAGCTTCTAGCCAAAGCAGTAGTCTGTATGGCCTACTTAATTCGTCTTAATTATATAAGACACGACATCACGTTAAGGGCTTAATACACGTAGCAGGTGCTAGATTTGAAATGATAGTCTTCATACTGCTTATATGTTTGAATTAAAAAATTACACTAACGTTACATTTGGATAATTCCAACAGAGATTCAACATAGAGCAGAGATCACAAATAGTTTATCTACATCGTTTAGCTGTTTTTTCAATGTCAAAGCGCACCTAATCTCTGCATTTTTTTTTTAAAACGTCGGTAGTGTACGTTTTACCCAGATATGGTGACTAAGTTCCTGGCCAGCGAGACCGTCTGCTTTTACAACCCGGTTACGCTAACATTGGAAATTGCCCAGCTTCGATTAGAGCGGCGTCGTTGTTCCAGTCATCATAGAGGGGTCAACCGGGGGGGGGGGGGGGGGGGCAGACGCCGCGAGACGACCACACTCACCCTATTTCGTAGTCGTTGTACATCGACACTGGAGTCAAAGCGTGACCAGAGCAAACGCCCGAGAGATAGCAGCGTCAGTGGCAGTGGTGCTAGGGGGTCTCCAACACCCCATCGGAAAATGGGGGTTTTGGGAGAAGGCGATCCGCAGCACAGGCAGCGGAGGAAAAGAGAAAACTGCAGGGGCCGTTGGCAGTCCATTTGTCCGTCTGACTGTCGGCTGTTAGCCTGTGGCTCAGCGCTGCATGCTTTGAGTGATTGCGCTCACCTACATAGTGTTCTACCTATCTTTCAGCGTATGCTCCGGTATGGCGCGTGCCGGAGAAGCCAGTGAAGCGTGAGCGTCAGGTGGCTGGTGGCAGTCGCCGCTAGAGTGGTGGAGTTCAACTGAACGCTC